GTCAGAAGGAAACTGCATCCAGGCTTTTTTTTTAAATTGAAAATGGGCGTGGCGTCGCCCACTTATGGACCAAAAACCATATCTCAATAAGTACTCGACCGATTTCAATGAAATTCGGTATGTAATATTTTCTTAACACCCTGATGACATGTACCAAATATGGGTGAAATCGGTTCACAACCACGCCTGAAATCTCGATTATCACTTTAACATGCGGGAGTATAAAATGTTCGGCGAAACCCGAACTTAGCTCTTCCTTACTTGTTTAATACAATATTTAACGGCGCACCTTAATGCTAATTTATAGGAAAGTTCACAAATCGTACTACAATACGTACAATTAAATTTTTTTTGGCGAAAATTCACCCAACCGTAAAAGAAATACACTATAAAACGATTTTGAAAGCATGCGCTAGCCAAAAATAAAAAAGCATTTAAACAATAGTGGGAATTCTGCTGAAGATGGGAATATGCAATAACTGAAATAACATTGCGTGAGAATGAAAGCTCACAACCATACCACTAGAACCACTCTTAAACTAAAATGTACATACATATACATGTATGTACACTTATACAAGGTGCGTTCCAAAGTAAACAGGACTTTTTGAATCTAGCGCACCCTGGTCGCGCCATCTAAGCTAAAACACTCATACGACATGCTTTTGGACCGTATACAAAGCTGTATTGAAGCAGAAGGAGACTATTTTGAATAAAATAAATTGATTTCGCCGAAAAACCATTTGTTAAGTTTTTTTAAGTCGTGTTTATTTTGGAACGCACCTTGTATGAAAATGTATACATCCTTAGTACTTATAAAAAACAGTATAAAGACATGATTTTGTATGCACATACATTATTTTCTGTTTACTTTAGAATATTATACATGATAAAATACTAAAACAATATTGAAAATGATTAAACTCAAGATAATTATTAAACAAGCTACCGATTAAAGCGATCTCCAACATTTCAATACCATACTTGCATAACGAAAGAGGCTCAAAATCCAGTTTTTTCGGGGCTTCTACTGATATGAGACATGGGACAATTTCATTAAAACTATTTTTTTTTTTTGGTAATTTCAAACTTAACTATCTCCTTTGGACATTCCCTGTGTTCATGATTTTAAGGGCTCTTTAACATGTCCGGTATTTAGAAAACTATTGAACTTCTCATCCTCATATTAATAAGATCTAAATTTTTTCTAAGAACGGGAGGATTGTATAATATTACCATTAAGAGGAAATAATTTATCGTAACAACTAAAAGCAGGAAATATAAGGCATTTTGAAGAAGTCATCATATTTGTTGGGGTGGAGTATATTGTTCTTTAAAAGTAAATTTTCGATATTTTCAAACAGTAATATATGTGGTCTTACAACATTGATTCGATCAATTTTGTTAAAAAGTATATATTTTATGAAATGTTAAGGGTTTCATAAATCTCTTATTACCAAATCTTATATTTTAAAATACATGTATACATTTTTATAATGTAAATTAGTATTAAAGGACTATATATTTTAAACTTTAAGCTGAATTCAATTAGTTTAATAATATCCCAAATCAATTATCGTGACCGCATAAGGGACATTATGATCGACTGATTGTCAGCAGATTAATCAAAAATCAAATCAATATAGCAGGCACAACAACTCATATTTATGTACATACACGTTTCGTATGCATACATGGCGCGACATTGACTAAAATAGTACACAACTGAAAGTGTAACATATAATTATGTACACGGAAACTGTTACACAATAAAATAGGATAAAGTTGTTCACTTTACTGTATTTGAGAAATAAAAATTAACTTTCTTAGTCTGTTAACTAATAACATTGAATTGATATACAATTAATTATTTGTTCCCATTATTACAAAAAAAAAAAAACTTGTTACTCAAAAGACGTTATTAGTGCAAAGTTCTATCGCGTTATATTGATTGCTTCTTGATGTATACGCTGCAAAGTGAAAGAATCAAATGGAATTTAAAACTGTGTTATAAGGGAAATCGGCGTGGTTGTAGTCCGCTTTCTCCTATTTTCACATTGTGACATAGGAATCTGAGAAAGATGTTATGTACCCAACTTGGCAGAAATTGGTAGGGTGGGTTCCGAGATATGTAATCTCACCTAAAAGTGAGCGGTGTCATGCCCATCGTTCAATTTTGAAGCCTGCTCCTACCAAACCTTTTTATACCATCTCGGCTGTCAAATTTTATATCTCTGGCGTATTTCATTATAGATTTACAGCACTTTTACTAGTTTTTAATAGTGCCGTAATATATGGAGTGGACGAGATGCACAAACCTATTACGGATACACTCTGTTGCAACATGTTGCAGGAGAATTTGGTATAAATTGCAAACTAGTTATTTTAACATTAGAAAATTGGGCCCTTATAGAACTCACTTCTAACAAGGCAGGCAATAACAACAAGTCATATAGTATAATACCATCCTTCTACTACATACAGAACTATTTTCTTTCAACAATTAACGTACAACTCAGTGAAATCTCTATATTTGTTCCATTATCGAGGGATAAAAAACAACATTATTACGAAATCAGAAAACCATAATTTTTGACGAGATTAAAAAAATTGGGCATGGATTACTACCTAATGGAACTCTCAGAGGGACACTTAAAGCCGAGAATTTTCCCATTTACCCTAAATTTTGAATTCACTAAATTTCTAACACATGTACAAGTAAATAGTCAATTCTTCAAGATTGCAAGCAGAAAATTTGTATATGCATATATGCAACTACGTATACATGCTTGCTACCTTTTAACCACTCGTTAATCCAAACATGTTAGGATTATTCACTTTCTTTCGCGCTCCTATTATAATAAATTAACAAACTAAAATAAATTGTCAATTTTAATGTACATGCATAGTAATAATGTACATATAGACATATTTATTAGGTGCACATGGATGTATGTAGATATTGTTTAAACTCAATGTACATATAGTATGTACCTAGAACGAAGTTAGAAGTCCTAAAGCCCAGTATGAATGAACGACAACAGCAAAAAATCACTTGTTCAGTTTTTTTTATTGAGTTCAACAAATTAATATAGATACATATACATACTTACATATGTATTACTCTACTATGTACATAATTATTAGTATGTGGGCTTTAGTCATGAATATGATCATATACTCGAAATGTTTGCGTCTTATGCTAGCGTGGTAAAGATGCCTCCAATCGGGTCCTAAACCAGTTTTGTGCTACTACGTTCGATGGTAACACGAATTATTGATGTGTATACTTGCACATAGTTAGACAGATATAAATTACGATACGCAGAGGTGTATACATACATGACCGTATTTATGTAGATAATTATGTATATATTTGTGTATACCTAGTGTCAGCTGCTCTTCGTTGGATAACAAATAACAAGAACCTGGTACGCCATTTTTGTCAAAGCACAGGTGCATCAGAAAAATTACTTCAGCGGTTACATGTACATACAAACATATGAATATGAGGATGAAGTTTTGCACATAAGTATGTACATATACGTACATACGTATATTATGTATATACATATGTTAATAGAGTTTTTACGAATAAATTATGAATAAATGTATATATGCATGTACATATGTACACCATTGCTGAACCGGGATTGCAAAATGAATGAAGTATTTTCATACGCCGTCGCTTATAAAAAATACATGAGAAGGAACTCACCATTGGGCATAATACGGCGATTCGTAAGGCGAGAAGTTCGCAAACTTAGCCAGCTAAGCGCAGTGTATAGATGGAATGGACACCAAAGCCGCCATTTGCTGCTGGCGTCTTTTATATTTCCTCTTGTGAATGAATTTTCAGTCTTGCTATCTTCCCGTTTTTCCGGTAGAAGTTGTGGTAACATTTTGAATTTATAGTTGAGTTTACTATGGTTACATTATTTGCATAGGGCTTTCATATTAATCCTTTTATATGCCACTTTCATGTATGTACTTTTTAAATTAATTTTAATTAATAATGTTTACATTAATTTCCACTATAATTTTTTATTACAATCCCGTATTTCGGCACTATATAGATTAATATACTAAGTACATGCTTATGTACATGTAAATGCATAATTTCACTTTTTTAATCTTTAGTATTTATTATTATGCTTCTTCACTTTATGCAAAATTATCCTTTATACTTATGTATGTACGTCATTCAACTACATAATGTATATTAAACATTATTATTTTCACGAACCTTATTTTTCGCATATGTATTCACAAAAGGATATGCATTAGTATATTTATGTGATTTTCGAGATCTTCGAATTGGTTTGGGAAACGGATTCGTACTATTTTTCTTTTTAGAAAATAAAATGTTTTCTTCGAAAACAAATTTGTATACACATATCCATACATACATACATAGATACATACATATGCTAAAATATGTATCTATATATATAAGTATATCTGTACATTTCCTTGCAAGTGCATTTACTCTTTTAGTAAATTTAATCTTAAATTAATTGACATTTGTTTATTTTGCAGTCGAAACCGAGTTACATTTCATAAAGCCACTTATTTCACACATGCGCTATAATGCATACATAGCTATATATGTATAGACGCAAACTCTAGAATTATTGCTCCATAGGATTTTTAAACGCATTATAATTTTTGCCGATACACAAGATTTTGATTACATGTGTACATATATGTATTTGTATTCCTTTTTATCCATCATTGGAAATACATATTGTACACCGTAGAACGCACTTGATTTCCAATTGCAACTAGTGTTTTTGCAAAATTATTAATTTCTTAGAGATTTAAAATAATTGCAGCCCATTGAATCATACATAATCATCATTGGTACAAATATTTTACGGATATAACAGCTACTGTTCTCCAAATGCTGAGATGGCGAGCAAGGCAATTAAAATGCCCACACACATCCGTTGTATCCAAAAGAGAAGCATATGTATGTAACTACATACATATATGTAATATGCACACATATAAGTTTTTTAGTTTATTTACACAGGCCGCTCACATGAAGAAATTTACAACGTCGATTCCGAATAAGGGCTAAAAATGTACTAACCACACATTTTTCATAATGCGAGTACAACCATGGTATTTTCTGCATGGTGGAAAACAATCCATGAATAGAGAAATTCGGTATACACTACTGCAACCAACGCATTTCATCTCGACTCACAAGAGTTTGTGCACCTAGGGCCTAGGCACATGCGTATACAACATACTTTAATACAGGCACGTATTGTAAACCAAGTGTGTTGTATTTTCACAGTGAAGAGAAAATAAAGCTCTTACATTTTTTTAAGAGCAGATGAGACTTCGTGATATGTGTTGGATACACGAAAGCGTACTTACGTTAACGTGTCAGCTGATTATGTTATTACGTATGTGGAATGAACGTAGACGTTTTCAAAGAGACCCATCCATTGCCATAAAATTAAAATTAAGGTGAAAACATAATTGCCGGCATAAGAATCCAAGAGATTGTACTTCAGGTTTAATTATGAAAATTATTCATACAAATACTATTTGTCAACTGAAAAAATTATGAATTAATTAATGAATTAATTTTTATTTTTTTCTGGGAATATTGCATTACATTCTTACGTTTAGAAGTACTTTTTTTTATTTATTAATTGTTTTAGTTTTAATATATTTGAGATATAAACTATTCCTATTCACCGAATTGGTGACACGTAATTTTTATGTGTATATAGATACATGTAACCTAGGGCTCTTCAAACCATTCGAACAATCTGAAAGCCAATTATTACTAACCGATTAATACTATTCGAACGTAATACTGTAGGCAATAATACCTGAGTTATCTCTTAGGTTATTTTTGCAATGTAACTCAAAATCAGAGTCGAATGCTATTATTTATAAATATTATATATAAACTATTTTTAATAGTTTGTTTTCAG